CCACAGCCTCGCCGGCTGCTGGATCATTAACTTCCCTCCTCTGAGTCACTCTGCAGCCCTGTCACCCACCGAGAGGCAAGCGGGGCTGCGCTGGGCAGTGGCTCTGGGCCACTCCGAGTTAGAAAACTGGTTGGAGGGAAAAAAATGGAGGTTGTGTCTGCAGAACTGGTGAGTACCTACTGGGACTGTCTATCCCAAGGTCTTGACACAGAGCCAGGATGTGCACCAGCAGCTGTGGCTGGGTCTTCTTCCCTCTGGGAGGTGCTGGTAAAAAGGTGAGGACTGAGAAATAACTTCAGGAGATGGTGGGATGTGTTAATGTAAAAGCTAAGTAAAATCCCACCGGGGGCTAGTGTCACGTCTGTTCCTCTCTGGCCTTGCTAAGGCACACCTGGGGTTAAATAATGCCCAGCCTTTTCGAGTGTGTATACCAAAGCTGCTAGAAATAAAGTTATTTTGCTGTTATTTATCTTGCTGTGACACCCACGGATTCCTTTGATAATGCGGCCTCACTGCACTGAAAACTTTGCAGAAGCAAGTGCTTTACAGTTATTTTTCTTTGGATTTAAGCCTTCCCCTGCAGTGTTTCCCAACTTCAACAGGGCAGCACGACTCCAAGGCAGGAGAGCCTGAAAGGGAAAAAGGCTACGTGCTTGCTGAGTATGCCAATTTAAAATACAGGGAAATAAATGAAACAATGTGAAAAATTAATCACTTCTGCCAAAAAAAAATAAACATGCCTTTTGTTCTTACAGTCTAGATATGCCTACTGCTGGGGAAGGGAGGGGAAGACAGTGGGCTTTAAAATGAATGTGGTTAGACTGGCAGCATGTTAACACAATTATTTTCACTCCCTGGGTGTGGTGTGAAATCCCCCTGTGATGACAGCACAGAGCACCGCTGGCATTTTCTGACCTGTGTCACTAACATGAGCGGACCGACAGCCAAAAGCATCAGTGTTGTGAGCTCTGGGCTTCCTTGAAAATCCAGCCCTCCCTGTAGCAGGAGAACAAGCCTGGAGTGAGACCCAAGCAGGGACAACTGGTGCAGAGCAGCTCAGCCCCCAATCTGGCAGCCTGGTGCCTCTGAAAACCAGAGCTCTCCTCCTGCAGGACACAGGGCTGCAGGCTGTCTTGCACTGCACCACAAGGAAACCGAGGCAGCACACAGGTTTTTGTTCTCTGCTAGTTGCAGACCCACAAGGAGACACCCAGCACAGCAAGCTCAGTGCCTTTTTATTTGTGCATGTTTTTGCTCAGCAAGTATTGTTATACACACAGTAGTGGAGTTTGTGCACTCTGATTTACAATATCGCCCACGGACAACGATGAGTAACCATTATGAGAGCACTAACAGGCTTTCACACATGTTGATGGCTGCTCCTGTTTATCCCTTGCCTCTTTTGTTATGCCGCAGTCCACATCTGGTTTCAAACGCATGCCTTTCTTAGGTGTGGACCTTGTAAAACTGGCATGAACCCACATTCAGTGCCTGGGTTGAAGGCAGAGCCGCTGGAGGAAGGGGAACACATGGCGATTCCCTGGGGCAGCTCTGGGAAGCTCAGGCTAAGATGAGTTTGCATTTATGTGTCCGGTTTTCCTAAAATTCTCCTTGTTTTGGAGCACTGTTTCCGCATCAGGCATGATGGAGCTGCCAGACACGGAGCACTTGGCACGCAGAGTGCCACGGCGGAAAAATAACTCCTGAAAAGCTCAGGAGTTCATGTCGGTGCCTGGCAGCGGGGAGAGAGGTCCTAAAACCTCGGGTGAGGGTGGATCTGTTACTTCTGCTGTATTAGGTACAGCCAGTCTGTTACCGCAGGACTCGAAGGCAAGGACGCCAATGAGGGACAGAGGAGCGGGTCACACTGTGAGAAGCTGGAGGATGTTTATCCTCAGGTAGTGAGACAGGAAGAAATGTAAGATGCCCAGGGCTGACGCTCCAAGGAGGATCCAGAGAACTCCACTGCTAAAGTATATCGGGGTGAGCCTGGCAGGAGAGAGGGAACCTGCTGAGAACAAGCATCGCTGCTCTCACCTGGGAAATGTCCCTTCCTGGAGAAGGGGATGGAAAAGTAGACCCCTGGTTGTGCCGTGTCCCCTGTGTGGGGTCCCCTGCCGAACTCCCACCTCAAGGGAGCACACACCCACATCCACAAGGGCTCAGGGCAGCTCCAGCCCTGCCCCATATCTACTGGCCCCAGCCTTCTGCCCATCCATGCTCACCTTATGCCCTGGAGAGAGCTTGGTAAGGTTGAGTCACGCAAGAACTCACTCCGAAGCAGTCAGAGGGAGTTTTGACCTTCCCCGAAGCACATTATGTTCCCAAATGCAAACCCACAGGGATTACCATGTACTCCGGGCTGGCAGAGGAGTTTACCTTTCTGAGGGCGATGCCCTGTATCCCATGAAGTAGCAGTAGCGGGCATAGAGATAGAGCAGACCCAAGGCTGCAGCCAGACCTGCAGAGAGAGATCACAGTGACCGTCTCCAAAGGCTTTTTGGAGCTACTTTGAGCCAAGCAGGAGCCCAAAGTGAAGGAAGGGAGAGTTTGTGTCCTCTGGCTCTACCCTCCCATCAGAGACAGAATTACTGCTTAATTTATTGTTTGAAAGGTGAGCAGGACCTGAGGACTAAGCCAGGGGAACAGATCCAGTGACGAACAAGGTAACATGCTATTCTCACCTTGATGGAAGAAGAGTCCAGCCTGCCACAGAAGTGCCAGGAAAATGGGAAAATACTCAGACGAGTTCACTCTGGCAGGAAAGAGGAAGGTCATAAACAAAGGAAAGGAGGAAGATTTTCCTTTTTTCCTTCTCTAGCGGTTTCCAGAGGATGGAGGCCATCGCTTTTTACAGTTGATTTCACCATAAAAAGCATCCAGGCTTGCACCTTTCCTTGCAGTTCCCATCCCACTTTTTTTCATGGAAACTAAACAGTGGAAGGCACTGGGTCTCCAGGGCACAAGACATTAAATAAAAGATGCCGGGCCAGACTCTGCACAGAAGGGCTCCATGAACCACCCCCACTGCCCCTTCCCAAGTGCAGCAGATTAAACCCGGCTAGAAAAGCCCCAAAGCCCAAAGGTGCAAGGAAGGTCTGCCTCAGCAGGCTGCAGGCCTGTGGAGGATGAAGTGCATCTTAATCAGATAAAGCCAGAGTAGCTTGGGCTTCATGCAGGAGTGGGAGGGAGCACTTAGCCATTTGAACTGTTTGTATACTGTGCCCTGTCCCCTGCAAAACAAAACAGTAGGACCAAAAGGTGCTGGATGAGGCTAAAGGAGCTGGGTCTCTAGCTTGGAGAAGAGGAGACTGAGGGGTGACCTCATAAATGTTTATAAATGTACAAAGGGTGAGTGTCTGGAGCATGGAGCCAGGCTCTTCTCAGTGATGTCCAATGACAAGACAAGGGACAATGGCTGCAAGCTGGATCATAGGAGTTTCCACAAAAACCTTATGAAAAACTTTTTCACTGTGCGGGCGCCAGAGCCCTGGCACAGGCTGCCCAGGGAGACTGTGGAGTCTCCTTCTCTGGAGACATTCAAAACCCACCTGGATACTTTCCTGTGTGCTTTGTCAGGGGGGTTGGACTAGATGATCTTTTGAGGTCCCTTCCAACCCCAAGCATTCTGTGGTTCTGTCAGTCCAGGCTGGCAAAGGAGCAGAGAAGGGGTTGGCTGAGGGAATCCTGCTCCTGTTGCCTAGTTGGATTTTTTTCAGTGCTCAGCTAAAGCAAAAGTAGAAGATTCCTCCCTCTCTGCTCCTCTCCCCACTGCAGCTCTATCCCAGAAGTCAGGGCAGAGAAGCTGGATTGTTGCTATCTCTGTCCCACCTGCAGCTGAGATCCCTCTGGGAGCTTGTCCTTCCCTGCAAGCGGAGTTCAGAGCAGACATGAAGCTGCCTGAGGCTTAGACATCATTTGGCTAAAACCAGGATAAGACTCAGGCACCCCCAACTTTGTCCTTAGCAGCCCCACACTCTACAACAGAGATTTCTGTGTGGCTTTGGCTGGGGTGGAGTTAATCACCTTCACAGTAGCTAGTACTGGACTGTGTTTGGGATTTATGCTGGAAACAGTGTTGGTAACACTGAGATGTTTTAGTTACGGCTGAGCAGAGCTCACTTAGAGCCAGGATCTTCCCTGCTCCTCACCCCACCAGCAAGGAGGCTGAGGGGGCACAAGGAGCTGGGATGGAACACAGCCAGGACAGCCGACCCCAACTGACCAGGGGCATATCGCACACCATGGGGCATCATGCTCAGCATATAAAGCCGGGGAAGAAGAAGGAAGGGGGACATTTGGAGCGATGGCGTTTGTCCTCCCAAGTCACCGTTACTTGTGATGGGGCCCTGCTCTCCTGGAGATGGCTGAATGAACTCCTTGTTTTGCTATGCTTGTGTGCACAGCTTTTGCTTTACCTATTAAACTGTCTTTACCTCAAACCATGAGTTTTCCCACTTTTACCCTTCTGATTCTCTCCCCCATCCCGCCAGCGGGGAATGAGCGGGTGGCTGCAGGAAGCTGAGCTGCTGGCTGGGGTTAAACCACAACAGGTTTCTACCAACAATGGCTGGTATGTTTGGGACTCTTGAGCCAATGCAGTCTTGCTGACTCTTAAACCCATTAGCTTAACCCCAAGGGAGAAAACTGCTGGATCACAGTCCTGAGAACTAAATGGCAAAGCAGGGGAGGGGCAGTGCAATCTGGAAAGCATCTTGTAAGGGGAGTTTCTTACTGTGCTCGAAAGATCCTCTCAAATTCAGGCGGGCCTGAGGTCTTTGGAGGAGAAACGCCAAACGCTCTCCTAGCATAGATCACCTGGAGGAAGAAGTACGCTGCAGCAAAAGACAATAGTAGCAGTGGTTAGTCCTCTGTCGGGGCACGTTGGGGCCAGGAGACTGCCAGAGGTAGGAGCAAAAGTTCTGTGATCTCCTCCTAACCTTGCACCCCCGCACTGCAGAGAAAGCTGCCTGGAAATCCCAGGTTTGAGAGGAGGAAAAGGAATGACCCAGTGCAACAGTGAAGCAAGGAGTATGCAGCCACATACCACCAGCAGATATCTGCTTTCTCTCTTGCATAATTAACAGATTATCTATTATCTATAGAAATTATCGCACGGTTCATATGCACTTTGTTACTGCAAATTTTAAGGTCTCCAGTCTTTAGTTTTTTTACCTTCTAAATCCTGATAGCTGAGTAGGGAGGGAACTGATGCCACAGATAAGCCATCCGGACACTGAATTAAATTGTCATGCAATGTGGAACCACAGCTAGGAGATGTTCTGGGCGACCCACCTCAGCCCATTCTTCCACCTTTCTGCACCACTGTGCTTTTTGTATGTTAATGTCTACATGAACCTCAGGAACTGCTGTAAACCCATTTTTCAAAGAAGGAAATTCTACGTGTTTGCAGAGGAGAAGATCTACCAAGAAATCTCTGAACTGAGGAAGTAGGTCAGTTCAGAGGAAGGGCTTCCAGGCACTCGTTTTCTTGAATACCTTTCAGAACCCAGTTCACCATCTGAAAAGCAGGGAAGTGCCAGTGCAACAGCAGAAACAAAATATGGAAGTTAAAGGAAATCAGCGGAGGTGCGTTAGACTGATCCAGCAGGTGTTTGGGCATGTGCATCCGATGGTCCCTACCTTGCTCCAGGACTCCCAGGACTGTCACGGCAGCCAGCAGATGAATCTGATCCAACATGTTGACTCTTCCAGATCCTAGAAAATCTGATTTCCTGATAAAGAAGCTTCTTTGGCCAGGTTTAGTCCCTGTTGGTGTAGCAGTCGGTGGTGGTAGCTGGCGGCATAGTGGTCTGCTCTAATTGAACAGGGAAGATTTGTATGTGGTGCTTAAGACCAGGAGTCGTCTGTTTTGCCCGTTATCATATGCACTGTGGAAATTAAAATTGGCAGAGAGAGGTCTAATGGATTATTTCTGCTCCCACCCTCCCTTTTCCAGGAATACATTATGAGGAAGTAGGAAACTCTTATCTCACACATATTAGCAGAGAACTAACATGTGAGAGATAAAAGAGAGGAACTGGGAACTGAATGAGACCACAAAGGGGACGAATCTCAACAGTCCAGCAATCCACTCCCCTTGGGGCATCTGATTCAAAACTGCTCCTAAGGAAGGGCAAGGCACATCCCTCATGCTGATGTTGCGTAAGAAACCGCAGCCCCGCTGGAGCTGCTCCGCACCACTCGAGCATCAGGGCAGTACGTCACGGTGCTTATCGCTGCATGCACAGACACCCCAATGTGTGTGTGGGGCACAGACGCAACTTACAGCCGTAACACCGAAACAGCCTCGAATAAAGCCCCCAAGCGAAAAACCCACTGCAGCACACCCAACGGCAAGACAGAATGTGATAACACATGAAAGGTGCAGATCCGTCTTTCATGGTGATACTTGATTTGGGGATGGGTCCTGCAGAGTGACTGCCAGACACCTAGAGGGTTTCAGAGCCCTCCTACTGGAAAGGCTGGAAGCTGTACATTTAAGGCTTCTGATCAATCCTCAGCCAAATTAGCTCTCATTGTAAACACCAGAGAGAGATCTGTGTGGATAAAAACCTGCAGGATTCACCAAGATATAGCAAAAGGAAAATGATGTTTTAACATGTCAGCAGAGACCCACTCAGATAATTCCTAGGAGCACAAAACTGGCATGGCTGTGAGCTGCTGAGACTGCTGGCTTTGTTTCCTTTCTTCGTTCCAAGAATTTTCCCTTCAGACCAGGGACAAAGGGAAGTGGGTTAAGACAAAGTGGTCATTAAATATCGCTATTATATAAAATAAAATGAGATTAAACCAGATTACAGAAAGCACATTGTACGCCTGATGTCCCTGATAGACTTTCTAAGAAGCAATAAACTCGTTCTGGTTTTCTGCCTCTATAAGGGATAAAGACACCCAAAGAGGCTATAACAGTGTCTGAGCTTAGTATTTCTCTAAATACCAAACACAGACACCACCATTTTTCAAGTATCAGCTCTAAGATTAATTTGTCCATCTCAGAATTGATCCTTCTTCATTCCAGTGACTGTTTAGAAATACAAGGAACATTGTGCTTTGCTTTCTCCCATTTAGCTGTCAAAGGAATGAAGGACTTTCCTGTGTCAGCTCAAAAAGGGCAGAGGTCTCACAGTGCTTAATGACGTTTGATTTTCCTCTGTTCCTGATTACAGCCTGCCAGCAAAGAGAATACAAAGCAAAACAACTGAACACAAAAGATCCAAGCTTACAACTCTGTCGGATGACAGTGCAGTATAACCTTCATCAAAAGTGCCAAATATGTGTAATGAAACCTGGGCCAGGAGGTGCTGCCAAGGCTGCCATAGAGCGTTCCAGATCATCATTAGATACAAAATACTTCTAGTATCATCTAGAGTAATCTAAACACTATAAAGGCTGGTAGAAACATGAATGAATAAAAAAGCATAGATGTCTCTGCCCTCCCCCTCACTGCCCCATAATCGTAATTTTTCAAGACGTCTTTACCTCCTGAAGGATGCAAAATTTTTTCTTTTCCGTGCTTGTCACCATTAGAACTCACCTTATTTTCTGTTCTCGCTCGGTGTCTACAAGGAGCAGACACAAGTACCCTCCTCCCAGCACCAAATGTCCTTTGATGATGGGACTGTGGCCAGGGCACAGCCTGAGCATCCTGCAGACCACGGTGGCCACCAGCATCTGCGCGCAGGGATGCCACGGCAGGCTCTGGCCAGCAGACACGGTCCCTCTCGCCGGCCGCCCACGATACCCGCCCCCCCCCGCCGCCCCAGCCTCTGCCACTTCCCAACATTTGCATCTGGCCCAATGCCTTCACGGCCACACCGTGGCTTGGGTTGCACTGTTACTCAGACAGAAAACTCTCCAGTCCGCAGGCGCGGGGGGACCTGTTTGCAGGCGGCTCGGCGAGCCCAGCTGGCTGCTCAGCCACCGCAACCCGGCGTTCACGGGAGGAAAGGGGCAGGAGGGGCAGCCGGGGTGGGGAGACAGGGATAAAGCATCACCATGGTCATCATCTGCCTGCAGTTACACTGGAATAAGTGTATTGCAAACCTTACCCTCCAAGGCTGATTCATTTGAGTTTCCTCCTAAGCAGAGACGAGTCCTGTGGTTCCAGGCTCGCCTTGGGATGGATTTGCTGAGTGGGACCTAACGAAGTGCTGTCCCCCTCTCCTGCTTCTCAGCGTGTACCCTGCTGTCCGGGTTACCCCGGGTGAACGTGGCCCTGCCTCATGGGGCAGCTGGAGCCAGCATGATCCAAACTCCTTGCGCCTCCCCCTGAGTCACTGCAAGAGGCATTTCTCTGTGCTCACAGTTGCTTCTGTCACCTCCTCCTGCAGCCATTAATCTTTTCTGCCACTGCACCACTGTGAGCTGGATTGCAACACCGATCGGGATTAAAAATAAGCTTGGGAAGAGAAAGAAGAAACACAGAAGGCCTGGAAGAGTTTTAAGCAGCTGCAGAGCGTGCGGTATCTATTACTCGCTAGAAGCAACGGGGCAAGGAGAAGCCAGCAATGCTACAGGCAGTAATATCCCCTTAGAAATGTATTTCATTAGACTACAATGGACGAAGAGCTTTCTATTAGTGGAAAAGGGAACATTTTGCAGCTGAGCAACTTACCCATCAGCTGCGAAGCATGGAGGCGCCTCGTCCTTCCAATTGTATTTTAAAAATATGGAAGAATTTTCTAATCCAGTTGGTGCTTGTTCTTCCTTTCTCTTCAAATTCTTTTGCAGCACATCCAAACCCGTGACTGTGGAACTGCTTGTGAGAACAGTTAGTGCTTTACTAAGAGCCACATAGAAAAAAAGAGAGGGGTTTTCATTCGAAAGAATTAAAAGCCACATAGAGCAAAAAGAGCTTTTTTAGTCCTGGAGAATGAAAGAGAGCTCAGCCCCAAGCATCTCGGTCTGTTCAAGTAACAGCTTCCTCAGGCTGGGCCGGTGGGGCTGGTGATGCCTCCATGCCTGCAGAGACTTCTGTGAGCTCAGACCAACATGTGCTGACATTTCCCTGGAATTCTTGGATTTTGCAGCCATAAGAGGAAGGATGGGCTAAAACATGGCAAGAAAAGGACAGTTCAGGGTTTCCTCCCTTTCCAAGATGCAGTTGGCCACGTGTGGCTGTTCCTAGGAAGTGGGGACAGCTGCAGCGACCCCTGCTCTGCGGTTCCTCCCGGGGCTCCCAGCAAGGCGCAAGCTGGCTCAGGTCTCCCGAGCATTTTGAAATGAGTCCTGGGTTCTGCATTTTGTGATAACCATAAAGACTCTGCAGGAAAAGAATTACCACATCTTCCTAAAATGTGCATCTGTACAGAGGTTCCTCCTTTCAGAGGGTAAAACAGCAGGTGGCTGGGTTTGCCAGCAGCAGGCTGACGTGATGCGAAGCATCCCTTGGGGCACAAACCCAGTGAACATCGGAGACGTGCGTTAGCCTGTTGATCAACACGGATTTCAGACAGACACTCCTGAGATTTCTCGAACTGTGGCATAACAAAGAGGTCACGTAAATGTGCTCCAATTATTAGTTGGAGCAAAATTTCTTTAGGTTGCTTTAACCCTCTGCTTGGATGCCACCGCGTGGCGCAGGACTGTGGCCAAGCACTCCTGTTGACAGTGCTTCTCGTCTCAGTAAAGGTGAAAAGCTTCATTTGAAAGACAGAATGGGGAGAACATTCAAGCCGTTTTCTAAAAAAGCAAGATGGAAAGCCAAGTCTTGGGAAACTACATAACTAAGTATTAGTTAGGGATAATTTGGAGAAATTTTTTAAAAACCTCCTTCTAAAGGAGTTTAGTGAGCTTTATCTGCATGCCTATTAAATCTGACTAGAGGCCACATCAGTATAAAAACAATGCCAGCATTCTTCCCTTAACCCGTCATCAAAAGGCACTGATATATGCAAATAAATAACACCCTTTCTTTTACGGTCAACATCTGTTAAAAATATTAAGCCAGCCAAATTGAATTTCTCTTTTGTTCTGCTTTGTCTTGTTTTATTGTCACATAAGGAAACTCCTTTCCATGTGTTTTGCCAATTTTCCTACTCCCTTTTCAGCAGAATGTCTGAAATAGCAAATAAACAAAAAAAAGAACAAGGCCAGAAAGGCAATTGCACTGCGGCTAACTCAAAGAATGAATTTCTGGAGTGATAAGTGGCAGGAAGGGGGAGGATTTCCCTTTGCAGAGGGACAAACAAGCCTTTCAAACATCTTTGGCAGCCCTTACGTTAACACACACTTGGTATTACCCTATAATGATGTCGGGGAAAAAATTGCAAGGCTACAGGGCCCATCAAAATACATCAAAGTGGTCATGGAGTGCAGCTTTTTCTGAACTATAGGCATGAAGAAATAGAGCTATTTAGCTTTTCTATCTTGTTTGGACCACAAAGCCAGATGCCAGCCAGCCCTACCCGGTTATGAGACAGAGCTGGGCAGGACATTGGAACAGGGCTGAGCAAGGGCAGCTCTGAGGAGGCATTTTTTAGGGGCAAGATTGACATTCCTGACAGGTCTGCTGCGAAGGAGAGACCCTCAGCTGCCTGGTACAGAGAAAGCGAGGAGGGAATTTGCCTGAACTGGGGAGGTGCTGCCTGTGGGGACGCTCTGGTGGGATGAGGAGCTGCATTTAACCACCAGCTCTCACAGTTTTTGCCATGGCCGCTTGCATCCAGCCATTTGCCT